TAAATACTGCCGATAAAGGGCAGTGTACCCGGTCCCGGTAAATTATTCAATCTTCTAATAAATATCACTTTTTGGATGGAATTCCGAAATAGGTATATCACAAAAATAATTAACAGGAAAACCAGTGTATTTTCATACACCATTTTAATAATAATTATTGTAAATTTAGTAATCCAAAAACAAGATACAAGAGACAAGGCCAGTGTTGGAATGTATAGTTAATGTAGGTCACAAGGTGCACAAGGAACTGTTCACAAACAATGATGTTAGAAGCGTCTCCCTGATTATATATATACCAGATTGCTACCGGCTCTGTGTCTTTCAATGTCAGGTGAAAGGAGTAATGGAAATAGCACGAAATTGCTAAATATGTATATTATTACGAAACTTCCGCGTTTTTTCGTCTTAAAGCGTGCATGAGAATTTTTGACACAATCTATAATTTAGAATTGAATTGGAAATTTATATGATTTCAGAATATTCAACCTTTAGCAATGTATTTATTTGTAAGTCACACAGTTTCTAATACCAATAGACTAAGGATGACGCTTTTCAAAAAATCTAGATGTCAAGGCAATTATTTTTGTAAATCATCAGACTAATATAAATTGCGAGCAAATGCGTTGACATATAATGTAAGTTTTGTATTTAATTTGTAGTAGCACATCGAAGATTTCAAACCTTTATACTGGCATGCCCGACAAAAAGGTTGGCCACCTCTAAAATATAATTTTATGCGTTATACAATATTTTTTAAAGTATAATATAATTCATATTTACTGTACAATTGTGTGTGTCATATCATACAGAAATGGACAGCAACAGATTTATAATTGCAAAATTTAATAACGGGTTACAGTTAATACCCGCAATATGATATAATGCAAATAAGTCTTCAAGCATCTGGCCTAGTCATTTCAAAACAAAACTCCGTATTAATAAAGCCATTATGGCAAAAGAAATGCCACAGGAAAAATTGGACTGGGAGGAGTTACCAATCAAAAAAATTTTCGGTATTGCAAGTAAATATATTAAATAACACAACATATATTTTTATTTGTAATATGCATTTTTTACTGTTTTATTTCAAATTATTTAGATTCGTACGAAGAAGGTATGGAAAAATTAGTTCGAGCAGAGGATACATCCAATGTAGATGATACTGCTTTATCATCAAATGAATTAAAAGAACGAGAAAAAAAGAGGAGACGTCTAAAAGCAAAAAAACAGTTATCCTCCTCGTCTTCCGAAGAAGATTTTATTTTTGACCAAAATAAAGAAAATAATATCCGACAAAATAAAATCCTGCCTGCTCTTCCGCGCAAAGAACATTTTGAGTTAAATAAAAAGCAGCTACCAGGCTCATCCAGAGAAAATAGAACAATATTATGCGAGAACTCTTTTTTTAATGTAGCGAGCAGTAACGGTAAGTATTAAATATAATATATTAGCACGATACGATAATCATTAAATTTAACCATTTATGCTTTATTTAGATCTAAATAATGACACTGTTACAAATAATTCTACACGTGTGTAGAAAAATCTGCTAATGTCGGTAATGAACATCTTGATTATGGTAAGTTTTAAAAAACTAATATTTTTTATGTATTGCACTACATTACAACCATTTACGTACTGTTACAAATTATATACCATTTTACATACTAAAGAAATATACAGAACATTCAGAATAGAAATTAACTAACTTATAGAATGTGTAGAGATCATTGTAGATAAAAAAAGTTTAGATTTATTATAGGTCAATTGAGTTTGGTTATCAAGTGTGACGTGACGTTTTGCGACAACGTCCGTCACAAGGGCTCATTAGCCCGACCGTAACGGCTAAGTGGATCCTGCGTCCTCCGATTTTCGAGGGCGAGCGTATCTACGATTTTGCCATGTTCCGCGACTAACGTTTTGTAGTAGGATTAGAACCGTAGGCCTTGCACCGACCGAAATAAGCAAGGGGTAGCGACAGTTCGACTGAAAAGAGTGTATTAAAGCGTCGTCTCACCGGCTCCCTGCAACCAGGACTCCAAGGACGAGAGACTATCGAGGCATACTCGGAGCAAGACGGGAGCACAGGTCACGTAATTACCTTTTCTTTTCCTTCCCTCACAGAGCCCTCTTAATACTGTTATCTTTTACAGAGTTTTCGGAGCGAGCCGACGGCCCTGCCAGGAGGCCCCGATAGTGCAAGGGCGCAGGAGAGCTGAAGAGGGCTCGCTCCACGTATCGAGGGCCTGAAACCCTCCAGCAAGTCAACTTTAAAACTTCGCGCCCGTTATCGCGGGGCCCGCGACTGACGCTACCCTCCTGCGGCGCAGGGGGTCGCGAAAGAGGGACTCA